ACAACTTGAGTTCAGAATCTTAATTCGAATTTTAAGTCACTGTACAAGTTATGAATATTAGTCAATAATTCGAGCTGTCGAGAGTATAGAGCAGTAGCACTCCAATTTAGACAAAAAGTGATGCCAGTCAGCGCCCGAGATTTACATATTTTATATTTCGCAGTTAGTAGACTCTAGAAATGCAGGAATTTCTACACAAACAGACTGAAGAATGTTTCTTCTTTGTTGTTACCTACTTAGTTTATTTAAGTTAGACTGTCAGGGCATTCTGCACGACCAGAGGTTTCGGTAAGAAAGCACAAATTTCCAAAAACTACTATGAGAATAAATTATTGTTTTGATTTTAATGTAAAAACTGTCCTGGTATTTCATACTTGGATGGTTGTACTATTGATATATTGTCTTAATTTCTTTGACATATTTTAATATACACGTATATATACGTTCTTACAGATGTCACAAAAAAGATTCTAGGCCGTATATATATACGGCCTTGCCGCTTAGAAGGTTTTAATTTGTAGTTGTACACTAAATCATAGATTTTAGAGTCAGAAACAAAACGAGTTGTGCGTTGCCAAGCTGTCTCTCTTTTTGCCCCTTCCTCAGCAAAAGATGACTACATGCTGTCAAGTGTACGCACCAGTCGGAGAAATGTTTTACACGGGAAAAGGGGACGCCTTCCTTCCCTTTCTGTCTTCCCACGATGAGACAGAATAGGCAAATTTCGTCCCATTGCATGCTGTCGCGTCATAGCTACAAAGGAAAAAAAAACTCATTATTTACCATTGAATTTATTGCCATTTAATATTACTTTTCGGTGAAGATAGAGGCAATTTTTCTGCTTCAAGTTTCTGGTTGCACTACATATTTAAGGCCAGCTTATAGTTATTTTTGATCTTCTCTAAAAACTCTACATGACATTGAAATATATTTATAGAATAAGAGGGAGTATTCTTTCTAAAAATTTGAAACATCTCAGTTTGAAAGCGCATTTAACTTTCTCAAGGAAAAGCAAGGTTATTTTGCAAAATTTAGAAATTTTCTCAGTTGCATATAAGATATGCATTTCAGTTATGCAGAGTGTGTAAATATATAATTAATGATTAGTTAATTAAAAATGAATTAAATAAGGTAGACCATCAGACTATGAGAATATTAGTGACGTAATATGCTTTAGTAAAAAAATAAAAAACTGAAATTTTTATATATATCTTATAGCAAAAAATGTCAACAAGAAAAATGCTTAATTTTTCAACAAGAAACTGTCAACAAGAAAAATTCTAATTCTGTCAAATTTACCAAAAATATTGTTAATTTACACGCTTGACGACAGAGTCCAAATATTATTATAAACAACTATGCATGCAAGTTTAAGTGAATTTCCGAAAACATACCTTACACTTTAGAAACAGTGGCTTCAAATCAGTCCCAATACAAACACCAAAATTCGGAATTTGGTATTTAATGAAAGTTAATTAAAATTTTAAGAATGGGCTTAAGACTTCCAACTCAAAAGATGCCTAACAAGGTTTGCTGTTTGAAACATCTATATAGGTGCGGGGAAGAATTGTATGTTTATTGTAATTTCGTTGTAACGTTTTGTTTCTACTTCATGTGTAGGATTTCTATGTAAATCTTGCAGTTAAATTAGTTTTGTTCTAAAATATTATAACTTCACATCATTTGATTAAAATATTCAATGATTAGAACTGTTATAATTTTAATTTTTCGGTCATAATTTTAATTCTCTCTGTCTTTTCTTTCTAGTCGCTCAGTTAGGAAAGAGGTACAGTACACTAACACAAAGTGTGTATTTTATATTCTGTTCATTATTTAAAAATACTTTAAAATGCGTAAGAAATTTTGACTATGGTTAATAAGTACGAATTAGAAACGAATGCTAGAAAAGTTAATGAACAACAAAATTAATTATATGCAATTTTTTGTGATGTTTCTTTCAAAATAAAATGCTTATTTAAATGCCAAAGTCAGGTAGTTCACTTACATTTATTTTCAAGAACCTACTGACCTCACTTACAGATGAGTCACATTCTTCCCTATATATTGGTAGTAAGGAATTTCTCGCGAATATTAATAATTTTTACATTATGTTTTATGGAATGCTCTTTTTTTCAACAATACCTTAAAATGTACAAAAAGTGTATTGAAAGGAAATACCTAAAATGCAAAAGGTTATATTTCTGCATGAATTAATAGCAAATAAATAATAAGAGAAATGATAACTTTTGTTGCCCCAGACATTTTATATCACTACCAGCAGTTATTTCCGAATAATAGTTAACATCTTTCTCTCAGAGTTAATCTGCTTAACAATGCCAATTTAATTTATTTTAAAAAATGCTATTGGAAATTCATCTAAGTTTTAGGAATCCGAAGTAGACGAATGAAGTCAGGGAGCATAGTTTTGATAAACTGTTAATAATAAGCTATAAATATTCTATAAATTCTCAAAAAAATTCTTCCATCAGTTATTAAGCATTTCAACCATTACTTTTCCTAAAGCCTCATATTGTTTATATATCTTTTCTGTTTTTAACTATAGCTAGTAAATAACAATTTTAATAGAAATGCAAAAATTTTAGATAGTAGATTTGTTCTATTTGGGTTTAATATGTACTTGATATATAAAGGCGATATTTGTTATCCTCGAGGCCTAATAAAGGACAGAATTTGTTTCTTAGAATAGCTGTATGGTAGTTCAAAAGCTTTACATTTAAACCATCACGAAGTTTTTTAGAAAATAATCTATCTATATGTTGATTAAAATTTTGCTTACAAATATAACGTGTGCAATACTATTTCAGAAATTCCGTTTCTTTGTTTGCAATTTTCTACGGAATATAATTCATGGATTATTAAGAATATGATATTATTAGCATAATAAACAATACATTGTTACAAGGATGTTAAATGTGATCGATTACGGTAATTTTAATTAGATGCGTTTTGAATACTTTAAGAAAATTGGTAACTGGGATCATTTTAAATATTAAAAAAATGACATCTAAATGTCTTCGTGGATTAGAACATTCAATTAATTGTACTTCTTTTCTAATGATATTTAAATTATTAAGGGATCACTGCATAAGATAAAAAATAATATTCTTTTTCTGACACCATTTCAACATCCTTCGACTTCGGAAACCAAAGTATCTAACAATTATGAAATGAACATTTCCTTTTTTTTCCCCAAAACAAATTTCAGAACTTATTGTATCAATGATTAAAATAAAGCACGGCTTTCATCATAATGAGTAAGTCCCCCCCATATAAAAGAGCTAAAACGAATGTATATTTCAACAAAGTTTAAAACACGTTTTGTACAGAATATCAGCAACTGCACAAATGTAATATTCCATGAAAAAAAGAGATTTATAAATTTTAGGTGTTTCTCATATTGCTTAAATAGTGTCCCAGGTTTTATTGGTAATTCAATACAAAACTATTACCCTAGGGCTAACGCGGAAAACGTATGGACCGAGCTATTAACGTCATCTGGCAGAGAAGCAGTCGTAGCTTCAAGGAAAATGATAAGTACAAGGGTCATTAGAAGTAGTAGGCGTCGTAACACTTGATTGAAAATGAAGATATCCATGCGCTTGGTACTTTTTGCAATGCCAACACTATTTTTCCACTCCCGTGTAAAAGTGAGAAATAATTCCATCAAATAAGGAAGAGAGAGCTGTACTGCGGTATTTGACAGGGGGAAATGACTATCATTTTTTGGGAAAATGAGTGCGATTCTATGGATTTTAGCATTTGATGTGCTTCCCGTTGTCTTTCGACCTTCAAATACTATACTAGAGCTTGCTGTTGCTTGTTTAGAAGTTCATTTCTCAAGTCTCGAACGGAAATACTACTTGGATCACAAAGGTAGATCTATTCCTAGCTCCAAGGGCTTGGACAACTCATCGGGACTTTCGTTAGAAGCAATGCGACGCCTGCTTCCTTACAGGGCCAGATGTTTATGTTTATAGTTTTCCCTATGGTAGTGACTGCTTTCCAGTCAAACGGCATTATTGCCTGTCATGGATTTCCATTCTATCTTGCATATATCTATAATTTTATAATTTGTTAATGCGTTTTGTTTAACAAAAGGCACTTCTTACGAATAAATTCTTTATTTCACGCGTTGTTTTAGCTATTTTTGTTTCGTATGAATGATGCTTGGTTTTTTTATTCTAGAATGAGTCTTATTACGTCTGTACTCTCAAAAAATATTTTTACTGAAGTTGACAAGCGTTCGGATGCTATTGCACTCGTAACAGTATGTTAAATGATATGTTAAATGACTGAAGTGCCATTCATCGTTCTATGAGAGAAAATCATTAATTCAAACAATACGTGCATTAGAAAATAGGAAACAAGTGGTCGTTCTTGGAATGCTACCACAAGGCAGATAAGTTTTGAAGTAATTCAAATTTATCATGTCGTAAGAATAAAAACCCAGATTTCACGAATGGAAAATTAGCGATAATTTGATTATTAAACTAATTAGATGGATTGACTGAAAGCAATTTTTAATAGACTACACCTTTCAGATTTATTATACTTTTCTTCAACATTCTTAGTGTACTAAAATAATTATATAAAATTAGTTTAGTTCGAATGGAATATTACATGAAAGTAAGAGAGTATCTGTAAAGCTTCTAGAGAGTTCAAATGGACTTTAAAATGAGCTAACTAGTAAGCATTCTTATGAAAAATTCATGATTTTGAACCAAAATAAAAAAATGCTATTCTCAAGAATTTCGTAAACTAAAAAAGTGAAACGTTATGCATCTAAAGTACAGCGTCTGTAGCAGAATTTATTTTCTAGTACTAGTGTTATGTTTTCAATTTAACTGATGTATATGTCAGGGAAAGAAAGGAATGAAAAGGAGTCAAAGTCCGTGGATGAAAAAGAGCCGCATTTATATCGGCTTCTGAGGTAGTTTCATCGAATATTTTCCCATTGCTACTCTACCAAACTCTACATCTTTTTTTTTTTTTTTTTTTTTTTTTTTGAGAGACGTACTTATTTTTTAATGATTTATTGGATTTAATTTACGTTTTAAAATTTTGATTAAAACATTTTGCATGCCATGACACACTATGAGTTAATTGTTTTGATAATGTTCTATTAATCCTATATCCAATAACTTCCGTGATATGCCTTATACCAATTTTATTGATGTGTTGGTAAAGGATAGAGAATATTTTCAGGAACACTTAGAGTAAAAGTTTGATAATGTTGATGAATATTACAAAGAAAAGAATTCTGAAACAATAAATATGAAATTACTTTGATAGACATAAAAACCATTACATAATAATTATGAAACATACTGTTTGAGTTAATATAACATCAAGTATCTATCAGTTACATTTTCAGTGTAGTTGTAACACGTGAATCAAAACGAACAGTTCAGTTCACAAATAATCTGAGAATTACCAGCTATAATACCAGTCACTTAATGCCAATTTGCTTGCGCAACTTTTCAACATGAGGAATGCAGTTATTCTATTTCTCCGTATGTGGGTTTATTCCTGGTCTCACAAAAAATGACATGCATCCATACCTAGTAACTTGAAATTAAGCCCAACATCGTAGTCATAAAAAAGCACCAATTTGTAAGGAAGCATCTGAGTTTTCAAAATGGCTTTCTTGAGAAACTCCATCAAAATGCTTCGTTAATATTTCTAATAAATTTTCCTACATAAAAAATTCTGATATTTTCATAGCAAATGTATGAGACTGATCACTACTATCGTTTGATGTGAGCATATTATCACTCGAGAGACGTTACTTTGGAAGGTATAAGATTATTTTAGTCGGGGGTGTCTTTGCTGTCAGAGTGTATGTTTACCTTCCAAAATGTTTACGAATGCTTCGGAGCAACGGACATAACTGCCGATTCAATTCACAGGTTAAAAAACAGCCATTTTATTATTTTATATCAACTGTAGAAAATTACTGTTATTTTTAATAATACGTTATTATGGATCATTAATATATTCAAACACAACACACATGATCTTAAAATACGTGGGTGAGTAATCAGTGGCAAGCATAAATGTCAGGAAATCTTCGGCGACTGCTCTGATACTTGAAAGAACTCTAAATTCCATTCTAAAATCATAAGTTAAAATCACATGCAAATTGTTCTACAACTGGGAAGAAGAGCAGGTATGCAAATCCTCGAGGAATGCAAAATTTATTTGAATGGGTTTTTGATGCTATAAACAGGCCCAGTTACTTGATATTCTTATTAAATTTAACTCCATTTTATTCAACTATTGCAGAGAAATCGATGCGAATGTCCTGAGTGCAATGCCTTAGATTTCACGCTTCGCATTTTACAAAATACTTTATTATTAAAAACAACCATTAAATTAAGAAGACAATCCACTGAACCATGTTTCGAAACTCAATGCAGTTTCAATTCACTAACACATTTCTTTTTCAAACGACTGTGAGCATGACCTTCCTGCATTTAAAAAGCTTCTGACTCATGGTTCATCATGATTACTGACACGAAATGTCAAAAGCACACAGTGATATTCATATAGCAGTGAGCAGTACATTAAAGACACATATGGAGAGGGCGCAACAGGTTTCAGCTGTCTTCATCATAGCCATTTATGACAGTTTCCAGTTTAGGGCCAATGATGGTATGTCGAATAGGGAGTTCAGACTTCGAGTGGAACGTGGTTAGCGTAATGTGAGGAGGGCTAGGAAAATCCTTTGATTCTTGGGCATCCGATGATAAATTAGGTATTTCTCTCTTTCCATAAATAACTGCTCCTAAAGTTGGTGACATTTCCACATCCGTTTCTGAAACTCTCTGAAATAAAATGGATGGACGTAAGATTAAAAGAACAATATCGTAATTAATATTACTTTAAGACACTAGTTATTACTTATGTAAACAGAAATAAAAACACTTATATAAACTGAAAATTATAACTCATGTATCCCGTTTGTTAAAAAAAAACCCAAATATGTATATAATTGTTAAGAAACACACATCTATGTACACACGTTATTAATTATCGGAATTCAATAACAAACATTTACTAATGATTGGTAATGTTCATAGCATCAAATGTGTTACGCAATATATTTTTCCGTAAATGATATGATGCTATAAATGAATATGTCTTTCGCACTAAAGTTACAAGTTTTGTATTGTCAATTTTATGTAATGATTAACACTACGAAACGAGGACATTTCATTTCTATTCAAAAGAAGTACTTCACGACAAGGTAGTGCACTATATGTTCAATATATCTTACTTTCTTAATCATATTTAATAAATTTTTAAAGAGGTTCATTATTATTTTTAATAACCTTTCAAAAAGGTTCATTATTATTTATATAGTTTCTTAAAGATTTCTATATTTCATAGCCTTATTTCTTATACGTTTTTTAAAGATTAAAAGAAAAAGAATGACTTTTTAAAGCTATGTTTTTTTTATAAAACTCAACTTTCCTGAAATGAATTAAAAGTTATTTATTGTTTTTGAATATATTTGAAGCAAGTTTGCTCAAAAATATACCTTAAATAACGTGATTTCACAGATTTAAAATTACATATTAATGACCACAGTTCTGGATAAAAATTAACCAGTTTTATTACATCTATTAGCTATTCAAAGAAATTATTTCATTTCTATCAGTTGAAAAAAAACTTTGCTCGAAATTTAATTATGTTTAATTCTCAAGCAATATAACGCCGAATAGTTAGAATGACAGTGATGATGCAGATAACTGTATTTTCAGTAATTTCCAAATCAATAAACATTTTTCTGGAGGAGAATACAATAACAGAATATTCGTAAAGAATACGCAAATGTATGTATAATACACTGGTGTGCAAAAATTAAGGACGAAGTCGAAAAATTAGCATAATCAGCTGAACGAAGAGGCAGAGCGAACAGAAAGACCAATCAGGAGATTAAGTAAGGTGATGATGTACGGTAGCACATGCGTAGATATGCAGGTAGACGTAATGGGGGAGTTTCTGAGTAGTATAAAGCATGTTGTCGGTGTAAGATCAGTATTCTGGCAAAGAGATTGCACGCCGTATAGCAGTTAAAATCACACCGAGTTGCTGCCTCAGCGAGAAATGGCGAATAATCAATCTGTTAGACGACATCTGGATGCTTTTACCCGAGGTCGAATCATTGGGAAGTTGGAGGAAGGCCGCAGTGTGACAAGTGTGGCTGCACAGTTCGGAATTGCTCACAACATCGTTTCACGACTTTGGAGACAATTTCAAACTACAGGAACAGCTATCCGGGGGTTTAGTAGTGGTCGTCCACAAGGAACTACACCCACAGATGACCGGTATATTGCCTTACAGGCCAGAAGAAACAGGCGGCAGACAGCGGGAGAAATCGCTAGACACACGACACAGGCGACTGGACGACCGATATCGCGTTTTACCGTGGCCAGAAGACGGCACGGTGGTGGTCTGTTTGCACGACGCTTTGTACGGCGTGTACCTCTAACGTCAGCCCATGGGAGAAGGCATTCTCTGCGGTGCTGGGAACACCGGAATTGGAGAGACAATGAATGGGGACGAGTAACTTTACAGATGAGAGCAGATTCAGTCTGAGTAGCGATTCTCATCGCATACTCATCTGGAGAGAGCGGGGAAGCCGCAATCATCCCTCGAACATCATTGAAAGGGACAGGTATGGAGGTGGCGGTGTTCTCGTTTGGGGAGGCATCATGCTTGGTAGTCGTACAGACCTTCACATCTTCGACGCAGGTTCAGTCAACGGGACCCGTTATTGTAACGAGATTCTTCTTCCATATGTGCGTCTTTTTAGAGGCGCTATGGGTCCGCAGTTCCTTTTCATGGATGACAATGCACCATGTCATCGCACAGTAGCTGCCGAACAGCTCTTAGAGAGTGAGGATATTGAACGTATGGATTGGCCGGCACGATCTCCGGATCTCAATCCCTCGAGCATGTATGGGAGTTTCTAGGCAGACGCTTGGCAGCTCGTACCTTACCACCAGTAACGATTCCGGAGCTTCGATTGGCGCAGCAAGACGAATGGGCAGCAATGCCTCAACAACTCATTGACACCCTCATTCTCAGCATGGGCAGACGCTGTGAAACCTGCCTAGCAGTCAGGGGAGATCATATCCCCTATTAAAGACCGGATGTTTCTTGCTGGACACCCATCACAGGGATGTTTCGGCCTTCAGTCGCATTGCGCTTCATGCTACTTTTTCAATAAAGCTTCTTTTTATCCCTCTGATTTCTCTTTTAGTAAGTGTTGTTTAAATTACTCATGTTCTTACGTATTGGGGATCTTACGGTATTAAATGTGTTGATTTGGAAAGCTTTTGTACAAAGTTATATTGAAAAAACCGTCTCGTCCTTAATTTTTGCACACCAGTGTAAGTCACAAAATGATGTAGTTTATCGTAATGCAACACTTTCAAAATTGAGCTTCTTATTTAGTTAATGAGTCAGTTTTGAAATTAAAGACGTCTGTAATCGAATAACTGCACGTTACATTACGCTTTTCGATATTATGTTATTAGTTTAATCATCCATCTAGCTTCGCAAATTTTGACTTGCTTTTGCCAGTTTTGATGCAGAAGAACTTCAGTTTGCCTTTCCTGAAATTTGCCGATTCTGTGACTGTTGAAGATCTTTGTGCTTGAGAATTTTAATTTATCTCTCGAATTATAGAAATAAATTGCATATAATTTGACAAACTGATCGTTGTCTTGAGATTTTAAAAATAAACCTATTTGAGCACTTTTAATAATAATAATTATATATATATACAATGTTGTATGATCTTAAATTCACTTAGTGCGAAATTAAGTTATTTTACTATTTGCGCAATTACTGCGAAGTAAGTTAATAATAATTTATTTACTAAAGAATATTGATTATATTATCATAATCAATATTCTTTAGTATATCTATCTATCTATCTATCTATATATTTGATACAATTTAGAAAGTTTTTTTTAACATTTACACCATTAGTGCAATGGTGTAAATGTTACGTTCGTTCTTAACACCATATATTATGAATTTAGCTGCAGAATGATAGCTTGCGTATCACATAGCATTGAGGTTGTCGCAGCGTTTTGTTCATGATTTTATATTGTGTAATGAAGTCGCATTCATTATACATTTTACGCTAAAAATATTGCTAAATAAAAAAAAGGCTTCAGTTTAATTCATTATTTATAGCTGTAAGAAATGCGAAAACTTTAGTTAGGCTATAGAGAGCTCCTTCTGCTATCCTAACAACATAGTTCACTTTTTTGTTTATATTTGAAGAGCTTCTTGTCAGGAGCAAGAGAACATAAATTGCAGTTTAATGTTAAGTGACATTTAGGAGTTGTAGTTTTTAATGAAAGCGTTAGTTGGTTTTAAATTTCCTGCGTTATATAAATTTTGGCTTAATTAAATTTCTCTCAGGTCGATAAATCGCAAAGAGCATCCAGCTAGTTGTTGAGAAGTTGAGTTGTTCGAAACTTCAGTCTCATATAGATATATGCTATGTTTTCTAACATCAACAAAATTGCAGCAGTAATAGTGCTCCTAGAAGCCAGATAATTTTAAAATAAGAAATGAAATATAATTTTCTTCACATATACTGATATTGCATTAAATACATATAAAACAATTGCCAAATCTTTTTTTTCACTCATTGCATACGTACCTTTCCAGCAGGCACAGCAGTATGGCAGTGGCAGTTATCTCTCTTCAGAATGTCTGGACAGTGCTCGTGCTGGTTTCCTGAATTTTCTTCGCTTGGAGATCTTCCGCCGCAAATTAAACTGCTGCCTAAAAAAGAAAAGTGGTTTAAATTTCAGAATATCTTACATTCAGCATTTTTAAGCTTTGGATGCTTTCATAAGTATTTCTCCCACTCATGCTATAAGGTATTTCTCCCGACTTCTTGGCGTGCCTTCGTAGTGTGGTGATCTGCAACCTGGGCGCGTATTCGAGAGGTCCTTGGTTCGATTCCCGGCGAAGGCGTTGCTCATTTTTCAATCTCGTGAGCTTTCAAAAAATCCTAATGTCTCTGCAATGTTATGTGTATTTACAGGATATGCTTCTAAGTTCAAGGCATACTAGAGATATTATCTATTCTGAATTTCAGAAAAATATTGGTGCTACAAATCTCAGAACTTTAATATTTGAAAGAATGTACTTATGTACTCTTCAAGCCCTTAGCTAGGCAAGTGTAGTGACAATAGTTAAAATTTAAAATTGCTTGAGTATTTTAAAAAATTTTAACATTTTTCAAACTGATTATTTAATAATAAATTCATTAGAATGTGTAAGAAAAAACCTTATTAATAAGGTAGCATTTATTCTATAAAGATAAGCTAAAAGTGATGATCACATCTTTCAGGAAGTTTGAAAAAAATTCGAACGAAAAAATTCGAAACGAAAAACATTAATCAAACATAATATATTCTAAAATAGCATACTGGTTTATCTATGTTAAGGCAAACCACAAGGGGACTATTTAATTAGAGAAAAGGATGTCTTTGTGGAAGGCATTTTAAAGGAAACTGGTTCATATTCACCTTATGCATGTTGAAAACAACAAAAACCCCCCTGCAACCTGCCCTCTGTCGAATCAAACTACCAGGTTTCAACGATTTTACGAATCGTTTACTGGTGTGGACCTGAAGACAGCACAAGATACTCATGTCCTCTTATTCTGCAGCAATACATTATATTTTTCTGTTACTTATCAAAATATTTTAAAATACAAAATTTGGGGCTGAGAATACATTTCTTATTTTTTGACTGACCCTTTAAATGTATGTCTATTTCTTTTTTCAAATTTTCAGTCTAAAAAAGTTTCAGTTCTTCACTTTTTATAGAGATGAGTGCTATTTTGTTGCCGATAATTTTAATGTAAGTACTTAAACTAAGCCAAAATCTCTCAGTATCTTTCCGGTAGGATTTCATATTTCTGAAATGGAAACTTTTCCGTTGGATTCATAATAAAAGGAAAGAATTTTTTTATATTTTCCGTTTGGAAAAATAAAGTGAGTGTAAAAATAGAGACACAATAAACTTTCAAACATTTTTTGAAAGAAAAATTAAATAATGAATGCTTCAAAGAGATGCTTTTTTTATAAAATATTTTAAGGCTAAGAAAATCGAAAAATCTTAAAAATTTTTAAAAAGTAATCTTAAGTAAATATCAAATTATACATTTCTTGTATACAAATGAGAAAGTAATATCAGAAACGTATTGGGGCACACAAATATATTCTTTTTCAGAAAATTCCTCTGCCCTCTTCCCCCCAAAAAAGTTTAATAATGTGTTTTGCTTCTTATCCTTTTTACGACTTCCCTGAGTCTTCTAGACATGGACTTCACAAAATTTTGACAGAGTTTTGCTTCTATTTTTCCTTCATTAGTAGTGACTTTTTCTTTAAGTTCATTTCTATTAGAAATTTTACATTTAATATTTCTATGAATGCATAAGATACTATATATGCTGAACAGAATTAAGGTCAGGACTCTGCGATTATATGCGAACAGTTATGTAAAGTCTACACTTTGCAAGTAAGATCATTTTGTTTGGAATTGTTGTCCAGTAGAACGTAGTAATGCAATAATATGCCCTTTTCTGAATGGTTTGCTTTAAGATTGTTTTAAAATATTTAAATGCATAAATTGATTTATTTGCGAGCAATGAAATATCTATTTCTAATGCCGCAAGGCCCTCGTACAGCTTTCAGATTATCTGGCAATCTCCATCATGTTTTATTGAAGGAGTAAGATTTTCCATTTGAAGTTCGGGACTGGGTTTTCTCCATACAATTTACTTTCCATCACTCCAAGAAATATTGAATTTACTTTCGTCTGCAAATATAAACTGAGTCCAAAGCTCTGGAGGCCTTTTTATTTCGGTTGTTAGCTAACTATAATTGCATGCTTCAATCACTTTATTGAGAAATAGTTTTATTGTGGCTATTTTGCCATAAAAGTTTCATTTTTCAAAAAATATTCTTATTCGTTTCTGTACTAACATATTTACTAAACATGGTTCGGCTCCTAAATTCAGTTAAGATGCACTTATTTTAGGATTATAAATAATATTTTTAGTGATTCACGTTTCTTAGCTTCCAGTGAAATGTCTTGGACGTCCTGTTCGTGATTAGTTTTCAATTAAATTTATTTTCATGTACTTCGAAATCAAACTATGAACAACTGATTTGATTACATTCAATAGTTCAGCTGTTTTCCCTCAGAAATTTTTATGATTCTAACGAAAAATTATAAATTTTCTTATCTAGAAGAAATTTTCAGACGTATTTCAAGTTATATTAACAAAATGGCTCCTGAACCTTAAATTGTATCTTTTCTATGTTTAAAATACTTATTACAGGTATTTTCTTAAAAAAAGATTTGACAGCATTAGCTCTTTATTATGTTTGTTATTGCAATACCCAGCACTGTTTTGACCTTAATTTTAACAGACAAAATATTTACATAAAACTTTTAAGACAAATTATTGAAAATATTTGATATCTAACTTTTATTCATCATACTAGATTTTTATCCCTGAATGTTTCAACTCTTCTTAACATTTTTCAAGTCACCGTCATTTCCCTTAGAAAGTCCTCCATGAAAGCATCCCTCTCTTTAGGCAGATAGCCCTCATATGCTTTGCATTATTTTAAAACCATAATTTAACAGATTTTCAAACGTAAGAAATTGATTTTAGATGATTTGTTTCAATAAATAAAGAGGGAAATGGGATGACACTTAAAATATTTGCTTTGAAAACAGGAATACTGCTGTAAGAGGTAAGAACAACGCCAGCCATTTGACAGTAATCAAATAATCAACAGGCAACTTCGTCGCATGTATCTCTTCGCTGCAAATAAATATCCACATTTTTATATGCGCCATCATGAAGTAAAACGTTTAGATTTAAATAATTAGCATTAATTATGATAATTTAAAAAAATACATCCCAGTTTATGAAGCTGAATGCGATAATTATATCTGAGAAAAAAGTACATATTAAAGTGAAATTTCAAGCAGGTCAGAGATATATTCAGAGATTTATAGCAGAAAATTACAGCATCTCAGAGGTCAAACAGAAGAGATTTGTATATGTCTCTGAATGTACAAGACAAAATAGTAAAACTTTTTTCAAAATGTGCCACATTTACATGCGAAGAAATGCTGTATTAGATTTTCTAAGCAAATCAAAATCGTAAACATTTGTAAGCAAATTGAAAATTAAACCCTCCCCCTTTGAAAAAGAGCTGGGGGCATTCAAGAGATAGAATAGTATAACCGTTGCAAATGTAAATCAGGCATAATATTTTTATATTTTAAATTGCAAAAGTTGCAGTATTAATGACATTGAAAATTTTGTACTTAAATGTAAATTCGTTTATTAACGACTCAGCCCAAAAAGAATTAATTTATTTCAATAAATTACTAAGGTAGAAATCCTCAAGGCATTATTGCTTGTTTTTTAAAGATTTCTATCCTCCTCTCTGAAACAAAGCAATATCGAATAAGAGGATATAATTAAGGATTTATTTACTGAAAATGGCCCAACATTAAATAACGTAACCAAAATTTGGAGATTCATTAATTTTTGAATCGAAAAAAGTGTGTTGCTATAAATTGCCCGCAGCAAAATAATTCTGCTGCTTCTTTATTTTAAAACCTTTCCAAAGTTCAAATAATTACACAAAAGATTCCTCTTTTCTCCATGGGGTGCTCATAGGGAGTCAAATTAGAATAAAAATAAGAGTAATTTAAGTGCTTAGCCTCTCTGCACCTCTCGTTATTACCCTTAAACACGTGGGACAATGGAAGTTCCTAAGCAAGATGACACTCACCGCCTCTAATTACTTGCAAGGAACTAAACGAGAAAAGCACCGGAATAATGTAATATCTACAAGAGATTTAATTAAAACTTCAGCTCTTCGTGAGATAATGGCCCGTGTAATGTATCGATCGAAATTTGTGTATAACTCAAAACCGCTTCGATGATTGCTTTATTAAATGTAACCCTCTTGAGCTTGTCGCAGTCCTACAATTCTTAATTAGAATACTTAAACGCTTTCCTGTTTGGCTGAAACCTGAAAGGAATCGTCCATGCATTGATGGTCTCGGTTTTCTATTCTCTAAAACCTAGGAAATTCAAATTACAATTGAATTTAATTGCCACCGCCTTAATCCTTCCCACTCATAAGACAAATAAGATGTAAAATGGCTGCGGCACCAAGCCTCATAAATATTCATGCAGGGAAGAGTGGTACTGCGGTGGTTTTGTGTCCACATTTCTACAGGTAACTACTCTTAAAGAGTAAGAAAGTTCTTCGAGGGGGTGGAAAGTTCAGAGCAAGAGAAAACAAATGCAAATCTGATATTTGGACAGCTTGGAGTTTTATGGAAATTTAAATTGTTTTAATTATTGTGTTATGAAAAATCCTCTCTTGACAAACTGATCCAGAAACTTTGTCATGAATATTGTCGAATTAGGTACAGTATGGTACTAGGAAAATTTTATGAGGTAAATTATTATGAGAGTTAAAATTAAGCAATTAGAATTTAAGATTTGATTGAGAGGTAAAGAAAATATTTTACTGAAGTAAATATTCTCGTGATATTGGAGATGGATAGGAATGTGATTTTTCTTAAATGAGTAATTTAGAAGATTTAGAAACCTTAAAAGCTAGTTGAAGAGCATTTAATTTGCATTTTATGCTGTGTAGTATTAAGCGTGTTTCATATTACTCTATATCCTATCTGACAGATCATTTTCAGAGGTTGCTTTGTAACATTTATGCAGATTACAGTTTCAATAGAAGAGTAATGAACAGAACGTACAGTCTTTGACATTGAGTTTGGCTAGATAATTCTTTCACTACTTTAATAATATTAATATTAATGATGTTTTAGTCTTCTGGGTGCTACAACTATTACGATAAATGATGATGTAGTTTTCGGAGAAACTATTTCTTATCATTCCTTTATGTTCGGAATTACACTCTCACTATGAAAGGTAATATAAAATCACACGAAAATTGGGGAAAAATTAAGAATTTATAGTACCTAAGAGTAGAATTTTCTACTAGTCTGCATTTTCAAATTTTGAAATTAGTTTCTCTGATTTATTTAACTCTATTTTTTAAAAGCGAGATATAGGAATAACACTTTTTACATGTACATTATCCTCTTGTTAATTCGTTCAATGTATATTTCTACAATTAATTATTTTAAAATTACGTAAGTAAGCTGTTTATCTTATTTTGGAAGGCGAAGGCAGTCATAAGAAATTTAACTCTGGGATGTAAGTCATATTTTCCATGTTTTCATTTAATTTGAAATCTCTTCATCAATATTTTAGCTAAATGATTGAAACTTTATTTAATTAGATATTTAGATATTGATATATGATGAAACATTAACACCGAAAACCTATTAGCAACTGACTTTATTTCAATCTAGTGTTACTGACTGGAACGCACTAAACTGCCAAACCCAAGTCTTTTAGCAGTTCTCTTTATAGACTGAATTTAAGTTAAGTTGATATTTTACAGTTTTTTTTTTGTAATTGCTATTTCCCCTGAAATATAATAAATGGATCCTGTTTTTTAAACTTATCGTCTGATAATTTAAGTTACGACTACATCTATGATTCTTCACCAATCTATTTATTCCGTACAAAAGCTGGTACATCATATATATATATATATATATATATATATATATAATTAAAGAAAATCTCTGTAACTGGATAGCTTACACTGTCTTTTAGGAACAGAAAGAAAGAAGACACGATTGTTCGGAGTTCGTTTTGATTTTAAGATTTGATTCTAAATAAAATAAGTTGTATTTTTAAAATACTTAACAAGGGTTTTACTGCACTTTTTAGTTAAAAATAAGAACTTCTTTTCAAAAATTTTAAATTTATAGATATTATTATTTTTAATAAAACTATTTAAATTCAAGTCTTCTTTTTCTGTTGCCCAGTAAAAGTACAAACTCTGAGACTGCAAACAAAATCTATTCTGAAATACGAGACAATAAGACTTCAAACGAATCGGTCATTCTAAGAATGCGCTGCATTTCCAGATGAAGAATGAAGTATTAATTAGAATTTCAAACCAGAAACTCTTTCAACATTTTATTCGTGTGTTAATTTCACACATTAAAAACCTCACTGAAAGATCCAAAACAAAAGCAATTTTTTACAAGAAACTTATTAATTTTTTATCTCTTTTAAAGTAAGTAAATTGAAAATGCAGAATACATGATATTAAATTCCCTAATTGAGGTCTAACCTATCCAGGCTTTAAAAAAGGGATGAGTTGTCTTGAAAATCTTCAGATAAAACTCATCTGAAAGCTGAAAGCTCTTTATCTTCCACATTCTTGTTCTTAACGACAGCCAAACCCCGGAACAAGGTCATTTCTATTTTCCCTTACTCTCAGTTCATTCATCTGCAATGGATTTAATTAAAACTGAGAGGGGGCTTAGTTTTGAACAGGTGCTGGTTCTGATAACATGCTTATTTTTTGTTTTAAACTTCTGTATGAGGTCTTGATATTTTGGGAATTAGAATTTTATGTTTCTGAAAAATTTAAAGCTCATCACCTTTCAATATTACTAGAAAATGTCAAAATCTTAACATTTTACAAACTAAATTATTTTACAATTTCTCTGATTAATTGAAATATTTATTTAAATGATTGCTTTCTCATCGTCTAGAGAATAAAAAACAACGTTTATTTATAGGTTCTTTTGAGGACAATTAGCTTTGTTACTATAGAGTTAATAGTCCATCTTGGGAAAAACACAGAATAGCTGGAGTTTTAATTCGAAAGATCCAAATTTGTTTCATAATCTTGGTTGTAAAATTCAGTTAAAGAAGCGAAAGAATTTAAAATGCTAAGCCAAGATTATAACACCTATCGAAACTTTAAATTATGCAAATATTCTTCCTATGCAAAAGCACCGGCTACTTGTTAAATAAACCCTATACTAATTAAGTTCTAAAATCAGCTATTAGTTGAACTTGGTTCAAAAATAAAGTTTTTTCATTTTCATTAGGAAATTAACTTAAATGATATAAAATATATGATTTCTATCCCATAATTTCGGTTTTGTGTTAGAATTGTTTAAATTTAATTTTATTGCAGGACAATAATAATCAAATAAACAGGATTTTGACAATAAATCAAATTTTCGCATATTATTAAAAAGATCATATAATAATTAGGCTTCTTTTAACTTTTAAAAATCTAGGTGTGATGATGTAGCTATTTTCTAATTTAAATAGTGCCTTTATCCTTCATCAAAGTAGTCTAACAGTGAGTGAGTGGATAAGCTTGCTGAACACTGATAGCTCAATCTGGGTTTATACCACGAAGAAATGGCTGGTTTCTTGATGTTCTTTTATTTTTTCCCCTTGTGTAATATAATTACGAGCCAATTTTCTATAGAACGCCTTTTACGAAGAAGTCCATCCTTTAGGGAGATAATTCTCCTGCGTTTTTTTGCTAATCAGTCAATCAACCGACCAGGTTGAATATAAGGAAGAAAAAGAAAGTGAAATATAAACGGAAGTACATACATTATTTAGGGAATATATCGTATATGATATCCGCCTCATTCAATTGAAAATGACGTACTTTTTTCTTTTATCTATTTACTTCGCAGCATATCTTGACATAAAAATTGAGCCTTTCATTTCAATTTATCAGTTCATCAAAATTCACTGATATGTAGAAATTAGCCTTTTCCATTTACAATTTCGAAGTATTTTTTCAAACATTCGTAAAATATCTTGGAAGCTATTAAAGCTTCATATTAGCACGACGTAAAGCTCTTGATAACATTATCACACAGTTTATCAGCAAGCTGATAAACTGTGTCAAGTTGATTTCATAAAGCAGCAACTCAGCAAGCGGATTTCATAAAGCTGATTTCAGCAAGCTCAGCAAGCTGATTTCATAAAGCAGCAGAGAAACGAACATTTTCGTATGATCTTAAAATAGATTTGTAAGTATCTCCTCTGAAAACGAGTAAAAATGGAACTGGTTTATCTTCATATTCATTTTATTCCTTCAGGAGCTAAATTGCTTTGTATTGTTAGGAAATAAAAAATCAGCAGTTTCCCAATGAAATCATCAAAAATGCTAGAAAAGCTACGTCTACTCTAAAAGAACTACAATACTGCTACTGTAAGTTTTTTTTTTACTTCACCAGCAATGCTGACAGAGAAAACTGAAAATGCCTTAAACTATTCAATGAAATACGAATATGATTTGAAAGATTTCAATAAAGTGTAAAGAAAAATGTAAAAAAAAATATTAGAAATACCGGGTGTAAGCGTAATGTAATTTTGTACGCTCGTGTTTTATTTCGTAAAGTAAGTGGGAATTTTTTATTTTCTTGCTAAGGAAAAATATATCCCACTTTAAATAGTAATTTTTATATATTTTGCATTTAACCGTACCGTGTCTTCAGAAGTGTGTCTTATAAGAGAATATACTGTGGTATATCTTTCATCTTTATATAACAATGATGCATTCACATAAGTAATGAGTTATTTAATGCGTGTGTTTACAAACTTCGAGGAATGAATTATAAATGAAAATTATTATATATTATATATGGTTATTATATATATTTGAAAAAAGCAACGTTATCATTTTTTAGCTTTTTTTATAAATTACATCTAAATTTGTACATCTTTTGGTATTTCTTGTTTTGTCTTATATATTATAGTGGTATCTCTGTATACGTCCAACATGGCATATATCCTGTTCAGATGCGGAAAATTTTGCTTGGTATACGATATTTGTTAGGAATACGATTCAAGTTCGATGAGTCACAAGAGCACGCACTGTTCTTCTTTACCTCTCTCGAGAAAACTCTGCGACTGCCCGTGAGCGTTAGTACATCTGTTTCTACTATTCAGTAAACAACCTGCGTTATAATTGCAAATTCTCAAATTCGCGTTATAACATATTTTATAAGGAAAGTTAATGAGAAGTCAAGCAGCGATGAAATGCTCTACGGATGTGAAAAAAGAAGACTGTTGGAAAGTATGAAGATTGCATACGTATGGCAAGCACAATTATATTTACGATTCAGAAAAACTAAAGACGCTATTAAATCGGCTAACATTGCAAAGGGCTGAAATCTGTTACCAAACAAAAATCAGAGATGTTAGAGCATATTGAAAAATTGCTTTTGACCTGGATAGCAAAAAAAAACTGTGTACCGTACCATGTGCATGGTTTCATTTATGTACAGTATATACAGTATGTGTACAGTATATGTACATGGTTTCATTTATGTACAGTACAGTAGTTTCATTTATGTACAGTTTCACTCGTTGCATTTTGTATTTTAGTATTAAACACTGTTAAAATAGCAACATGACTTTTTATAAGAATGGATTAATTATTTTCTCTTTATTTCTTATTGGAAAAGCTCATTTTTCGTATATGCTCAAGTATCAGGAACGGATTAATGACGTATACCGAGGTAACATTGTATTTTGGTTTATAGGACTTCTGAATTCTCTTGTAGAAACTAACAGTTAAAAGGTTTTCTATCCTCTTTTTGCATTGTTTCTGAATTAATAAAATACTGCCAAAATTATGTGTATTAATACACGATTTGGCTTTAAAGAACACAAAATAGACCGCAAGATTCTAAATCTGGCGGATAAAGGATGATTAATAAAACTTGCATTTTTCTTTTTAAATCAAAATCTTAACGATAATTGGATTTTTCAGAAGTATAGTAGAAGTCTTTTATTTATCGATCCTTTCCTTGTTTTCAAAAGTTAGATCTCTTGTTAGTTTTTAGAAAATAGAATCTAGTGTCTTCTCCTTCAAGCAAAAGTTCCTTATGAATTAACTACCTGTCAATATAAAAAAATCCCTAACGCAATTTTTATTCGAAGTTCCTAAATGCGAATTTTTTTAACCTATGCCATTTTTCTTTTACCCATGCAAATGGTTGTTAGTTTGCCTCTGGATTGTAATTAAAGCTCCATCTTTCGTCACAAGTAATGACTTGTTTTTAAAAAAAGTCAAGATTACTGTTTGACACTTTAATCTAATCCTTAGTTATTTTTTTTCATCCTTTGAATCCTTAACCGCGGATACTGGCTGAAGAAATTCCAACAAATAATTCCATTTAAATTTCTTTCCGCATGAAAATAATATTTCAAAGAAAAAAGTTGAGGCATGTTACTACTGTCAATAGTTATTATTTGGCAGAACTACCAAGGCTGGTTGAAAACTTAAATTCTAAAATTTTCTAGATGGACTGTGCATAATGTGTAACCTCTCTCATTACTGAGTAACCTCTCACATTACTGAGTAATAAAAAGGCTTAAAAGTAATCTTCTTTGCTTCAGTCATTATGCATATCCGAAATACGAAATTTATTTTTTAAGAAACCAAATTAAAAGTTATTTTTACTAATTTATGATTTTTACTTCCGACGTGCATTTATTTATTTCTTTAAAATATATGTCTATTAAATACTCTTTATCTCTTTCGCTCAAAGACCGTAAGTTCCCATTAATAGTTAAGGAGAAATTACTCTCATGGAGTAAAAGCTTTCCGTAAATAAGATTGCAGGAGTAATATAAAAGCAGTAATAGCTACGTAATTTATTTATCAATTACTCCTTTAGAGTTTTTACTTATTTATTTTGTACTCTAGAATTACTTATAGTCATTTTAAATGAATTACAGAGCCTCTCTGATGCAACAATAATGAGTTAAATCGATAATATTTGGTAAACAACACTAATGAAAGTTTAGTGAAGTAGAGTTTTTTAAAATAAGGAACGTCGAAGTTTGCGTCGATAAAAGTTTAGAACTCTTTCGTAATCGTTTTGTACCATCATAATGCTTTTAAATAATTTGTGATGGCTAAAGAAGTCCCCATGCTTTTAAAATTTATCTCATATCACATGATTACAAAATTCAAAGAAACAGAAAACATACTCTGCTTGTAGAATTAATCAATTATTATCATATCAATGAATTTCTGTGTGTTAGAAAGATTACTTTGTTATTTCAATATTCATTACATATATCACAAAATTAGTAAAATAATAATTTTACTTTCACTTTTAATACTTTGTTAACATTCTATTCGAAAACGAAATGTAACTTCTAATAACAACAAAAAAGTATTTTGACTGAAAAGCTACAAACTTCATTTTCTTGTTTCTAATCAACGGTTACAGCAGTTTCTTTACTTTCTTTCTCTCTCTCTCTCTATCTATATATATATATAGAGAGAGTAATATGAATCCATTGTGTCCTCTTAAGATTTCGTCTGTTATTCAAAATGTCCTGCTGCAATTAGTGTTTCCATATTGCTTAGATAATGATGGTTTCAGTTTGAAACTACTTTTATTTGATACTTAAGGTAAAAGCAGTTTCATTTTCCATTATGCGCCTTTAAAATGTTTATTTATTTCCATTTTACCATATGAAACTTATTACTTCTTCAGGACGAAAATTTCTTTTGACTGCAGCTATCATTATCGTATAAGACTGAGTTGTTTAGAAAAAGGCTCAGTGAAACTTTTTATAAAAGCATGAGAGCCTTCTATTGCATTGTACATTGTAAAAATCTTATTCAAATGAAACGGAAAAAAAAAACATAAGTGTTTATGAAGTATAAAATTTTATTCTCTTGTTTTATTTTTTAACAAAATGAGGTAGGATGCCAAACTTAAAATGTAAGAAACAAACTGCCAAGGAAAGTATCTGCATATTTTTTTTTTATCAAAGTTAAGTTTAAAAATAAAGTTTAAGGTAAAACCTAAGATTTTTCATTTTTTTTTCTGTTTTGTAAGGTTTTTCTCCCTCCTTACCGCGTGCTTCCATGATGTAATTGGGAAACGCGTCCGGCTAGCGCAGGAAGGTCCGGATTTCAAATTCCGGAAAGGAGACGGCATATTTTTTACGTCTTGTGTTCTGAGAATAAAACGCCTAATTGTTCTCTATAAGTGGCACCGAAAATAAATCGTGGTGTATGATAATTCGTCGTTATCAGAGTTTGAGGACTGGGTGCTTGACTCGGTGTGCCAGTCGTCCTTTAACTTGGGAAGAATGTAAGGTTTGTTTCCCTCCTTAACTACTTGCCTTCGTAATGTAACTGGAAAGTATGTCCGAAAGGCACCGGAAGGTTTGACGCTCGAGTCCTGGAGAGGGCATTGCACATTTTTCACGTCTCCTGCTTCGAAAATAAAATGCCTAATGGTTTCCACATGTTGCGTAATGTAATTCATTGAAAATTCGTTTTAGTGAGATTATTTTCAATGTATTTATATTTTGATATGATTACTTCTTAACCTCTATTGCAGACTTATAAAAGAACATCTGATGTAACAATACCCTACTTTTTTCTATAATGCATATGCAAAAACTTTGTAAATTGAATATTTTCCATTGTTTAACACCCTGTGTAATGTTAATACTTCAAAAACGTTTTGATTCTATGCATTTTTATCTGATATACTAAGAATTTTTATTTTACTGCAATCATTGAAAAGATCAACTGATGTTACAGTCAACATCAGTTACTGTTTATTATAATGAGGAACATATTACTTCCTAGAAATATATGAAATAGATATTTATTTTTGAGCTACAAGAGTAAAAATCAAGAACATAAAATATGCTGCTTATTGCCTTTAATATGATTTTTGTTATTCGCTGTATTCAAAGTTTTACTTCCAGGTAATATTGCCCTGGTAAATATTGCCCTCGTATGCCGACTTCTAAAGTGTAGAAGAAAGAAAGTTATCATGATCTAATCATTAGAAATTCCTAGAAACAAAATGCCATTTCCTTACGTGATAATTTAAAGTGCAAGAAATTGGAGGTGATGTTCATTGAATTTGTACAAGATTCATTCTACTCTACAGTACAGGATAGAAATTAATGATGACTGCAAGAAAATTGATGAACAAAAGGAAAGAATGTAACATTTTTCATTTAGAGGACAAGGCCTCGA